TCATAGTGATCCGCCTGTTCACCGCCTCCCAAGAGCTGGGATTACAGGCACGCGCCGCCACACCCAGCCTCAGTTGCCGTCTCAGCGCAGCCCGGGGGTGGGGTCGGCACCACAGGCCCTGGGATCGAACCCCGGCCCCTGTGCCTGCTTGCAGGCGCTTTAATCCTCTGACAATCCAGCTATTTGGTCGACCCGACACTGTTTTTTTTGGAGACAAGGTCTCTAAAACCATGCCAACCCCATGCTGATGTCTCAGGGGGAAGAGAGCACGCAACCTCTGACCGCGCCTACAGGGAGCAGTGCTGCGCCCCAGCGAGAGGACCGGGAACGCGGCTTTGCCCTCCCGAGGCGGACCTACTGGCTCTCACTCAGCAAGCAGGAGCCTGGCGCCCACAGCGCCCCCTGGTGCCCGTGGTCTGCAGCGGGAGGGGGGCTGTAACTCCGAGTCACTCAGGTTCTTTTCTCCACAGACCCCCACCCCCCACCAGGTGACATCACACATCCGCCACAGGCCACGCTCTTCACAGAAGGAAGATTTCTTCTTCCAGGATCATTAAACTTGTCAGGGAGCAAATGGCAAGCGCATCCCTGCCATTCATTATCACCTGTCTGCTTGCACGGAGCAGAGCAAGATGATAAGAAGCTCACTGTGAACCGTGAGGTGTGAAAACCAACCCTCGGTGCTGCCAGCCACGGCGGCGGCAGCCTGGCCAGGTGCAGAGCAGGGTGGTCCAGTTCCTACTCAGTGGCAGAGACACTTGAATCTGCATGTACAGGGGGATGGAGAAAAGGAGCGTTTGTCCTGAGGGAGATGCCCGGAGAAAGGCAGAAGAGAGGCACGCTGAGCGGCGGCTCTGAACGCTCAGTCATCTCAGACTCCACTCAGACTCCACTCCGACAGAAACATATCAGCAAAATGCCCTGTCTGATCTCTGGGAAGGGCCTGGAAGCCAGGGCACAGGGCCACAGGGTGCTCCCTGGGACACTGTCACCCTGCCAGGAAGTCCTGCGTGTAGCACGACCAAGAGGAAACAGTTTGTCTGGATTGAGCAGTCGGCCACGATGCCCAGGCTAGCGTGGAGGAGACGCCCGAACCCCACCAGGACAGTGCAGGAGGGAGATTACATTTCATTTCCGGGTGGCTCTCAGCATCCTCTGTGGGGCTCGGGCCACTTTCCAGGGGCTGCAGAGAGATGTCCAAGGCGCCCTGGCTGACAATGGCTTGGAGATCCAGCTGCAGGAGCCGGACCTTCCTGCTGTTTTTCAGCACCATCTTCATGGTCTAAAGAAGCGAGGGAAGCACCATGACTACTCACACTGTGGCCCACTCTGTCCCTCCACATTACCAAGTCTGTCATTGTCACTGAGGAGACAGAAGCAAGATTTGAATAGGATCTTTTACATGGCACCTCAGTCTACACGTGAGTGTTTCCCTCCAGCCTGGCCTTGCTGCCTGGTGGTGCCATCAGGCTGGGGGCACTTTGGTGTTTCCTCCTTCCTTCTTTTCTGCCCACCACTCACCCAACCCGGGCTCTCAAGAGGGGACAGTGCAGGTGACTGCTGCTCACAAGGGATGGCTCTTTAGATTTCAGAGCAGATTTGTGAGTGAGACAGCGTGCTGGTGCCAGCATCAATAGAGCTGTCCTTGGGGATCCACGGAGGACCAAGGCCAGCACCTGCGGAGAGCCAAAGTCCTGGCAACTCGGTGCTCCCTGGCATGCTGCAAATCTGTCTAGCTGGCTTGGGCGCTGGTATGATGCGAATGCGGCTAGCACAGCCACAGGAGGCAGAGTCTACGATTGCAGTGCACAGGAACACGCCGGCCCCGGAGCTCTCCAGCCCGAGGCTGCTTGCATGTGTGGAGGTGGCCGCACAGTCTTCTCGCTGGCTTTCCTAGGCCCTTCCTAGAGTGCTGGAACAACAGTCACCCCGCATGAAGTCATAGCTAAGGAATCTGGAGGCTGGGATACACCGAGTGCTCAGAGCTCTGTGTGTGTGTGTGTGTGTGTGTGTGTGTGTGTGTGTGTCTATCTGTCCCAGCATCTGGTACATGCGCTCTCACCTGACACTTGCTGGCCCAGGTCCCCTACATCTTTCCCTGCACAGTCTGCCCAGGTGCCGGGTGGGACAGGGCATTGCAGGGGCCTGCATCTCCTTGCCCATGGCCAGCCAGGCCCCTGCTGGCTTCCACCCCATGGACAGACAGAAATCACCCACTCTCAGGGACACTCGCCGCTTCTGCTCTGTCCTTGAGCCCTGCTGTCATGCCTGTGTGGTGCTGTGACCCACCTTTGCCATGTTGGAGAGGTATGTCTTCCTCCTGAGTCTCTTGACGAACATGGTGACCTCTGTGGAGGACAAGCATGGGGCTGTCACTGATACTCTGTCCCCAGGTCCCTGTGCTGTGGGGGAGGAGGAGGTGCCCAGGCCAAGGCAGGATGCAGGCACCTAAGTGCGTCCCACCTGTCCCAGTGTCCCCGACTGAAATGTTCCCCTGTGCCCCAAAGCTTCTGGGGTCTGTTTGTACCTTGTTGTTCTTGTTCATAGGCAGAGAGAAAGAAGCAGGGGCTTGACTTAGAGTGAGTGCTGGTGACCAAAGGAAGCCTGGAGTGGCTGCTGTCCCCCCCACTACCCCAAGCAAGTGCAGCCTCTTTCCCCCTTTCCTCAGCTCTCAGCTGTCTGCTGTGCTGTGGGCTCTGCCTGGCTGCACCCCACACTTCCACGTGGCAGAAACGGATCCAGGTGTCCAGAATGCTGGATGCAGCAGTGGAGGAAGTGGGTCTGAGTGGTGGAGACAGACAAGGCCCCGTCCCCTCCTGTAAAGCCCTGTCCTGTGCCAGCCGGGCGCCAATAGCCAAGGAGGCAAGGCTTGAATGCCAGGGAGGCCCAGGCCTTCGGAGGCTGCAGGCAAGGGCGGAGCTTCACGAGTGTGAGGGGCTGGGCACTGGCAGGACAGTCAAATGTGCTGCTTGAAGGGCCCAGAGCTGAAGGCACAGAGCGGCCAGGCTGGAGCAAGGGCTCCAGCTCAGGGTCCTCAGGGCCTGGACAGTGAAGGGTGGCAGTGCCAGGCTTGGCATCCTTATCACACGTGTGTGTCCCCCAGTGTTTTGGATTTCTGATCTTTTAGGGTTATAGGATATTTGCAGACAGGACAAGCTACCTTGGGGACCAGGCCCAAGTCGTTCTGTTTCATGAATACCACACAGAATGAAGGTCATCTTGCACAATGCACATGGGGCACCTGCGTATCCACTGTGATGCTGTGTCACCAGAGGTCAGTAAGCGACTTCCTGCCTGCAGCATCGAGTTGGCACTGGCGGAGTGTGGGCTTGGGAGGTTTCAGATTTGGGGTTTTCTGACTAGCGGTGCTCAACCTGTACTCGGAGATGACAACCCAGCAGCCAGTCAGAGCAGGGGACCTTGTTGCCAGAGGAGAGAGGTCCTGGGAGGCAGGAGAAGCCAAGACCATGGAGTGGCTTCTAGGGAGGATATGACACTTTGCAGAGCAGCGAGAGGCCGGAGAAAGCTGGGGCAAGAACCCCCTGGGTCCAGATTGGACCTGTGGGGGGCAAGGCAGCACCGGCAGCCCGCGTGGGAACTTTCGAGTGCGCATCTTACTGAGCTGTGGGCGGGGCACAAGCCAGGGCAGCTGCTGTGGAGTTCAGCACAGAGACACCTCAAAGAGCTCAAGCTAGAAATTCCATTTGACCCAGAATTCTCCTTCTGGGTATCTTCCCCAAAGACTCAAAGCCACCATATCATAGTGACCCACGCACGCCCATGTTGATGGCAGTGCCATCCACAATAGCTAAGTCTTGCAGCAGCCTATATGCCCATTAGCAGATGAACAGATAAAGCAAATGCGGTGCTTATACACCATGGAGTACTACTCTGCCACGAAGAGGGACACACCTGAGGCATTCGTAGGGAAATGAGCACACCCAGAGACTACAGCGTTCAGTAAAATAAATCCGATCCATGAGCTCAAATACCACAAGGTTTCCTCTATGCGCAGAATCCACCGTGTAAGTAATTTAAAGCACAAAATAAAAGACAGAAAAAAGGGCGGTGGATACTGTGTGAGCAGGGAGAGGATGAAGAGATGAAGAGGGAGGCAAATGCAGATGTGTGCTGCCCCCCACGCACCAGCTCCCCACTGGACACTGAAAAACAAAAGAATTCATGTTGGGGTGGCGGCGGGGACTCACCTTTGAGTTTGGAGACCCGTAAGAGGGCCGGGGAGCCTTCCAACGCATTCAGAAGCCACCACTTGTACTTCTTGCTGAATAACCGCACAGACTTCAGGTACTGGATGGAGACGTCCTCCAGGAAGTCACGCAGGAGCAGCTCCTCAAGTCCCTGTGGGGGCCGGGGGGGGGGGGGGTCAGGACGCCTGGCTCAGCGCCAGAGCTCCGAGGGCCAGAGCTCCGGGTTGTCACCAAGTCTGAGGGGATCGGCCTGAGGGACACATGCCGATTTGAACGTTTTACAAATAGCGATGTCTCCGTCTTTTTTGGGCTCTAGGGATTGAGCCCAGCTGCAAGGCAGGAGCTGGCCAAGCAGCGGCACAGCACCTGCCCCTGACTCAAAAGTTTTAAAGAATATGCTGCCAACCCTGGGGGAGGGCACATGGAAACCAGTCCCCAGTGTTTCACTTTTGTGTTAAAAATTGAGAAACACAGGAATTGTTTCCTAAAAAATATGGAAAGTTAAGGTTTGGGACTGACAGAAGGAGCACATGTTTTTACAACAAAATGACAAATAACTCTCAAACTTATGGCCACCGTTCCGGAGCCCCACTTCAAACGAAGCCAACCAAACTCCCGGTAGTCAGGCATATGCCAAAGCAATTATCCTGCTGGATTATTTTTAAATGTCTTCTTTGGTGAAAATGTCCAGGGTAAGAGCTTTGGCTCAATTCAGGGGTCACCAACCCGGAACCACAGGTCTCTGTGCCTGGCTTTCTCCTTTATGTGAGGAAATTACAACAGGAAAGCCCAGTTTCAGACAGAGATCAAAGGGCTCACCGTGCCTCACCCGGGCAGCCATTGCTCAGAGGACCTGAGGCCCACGGACACCAGAGCTGGTGGTGGGCAGGCTGCTGGGCTAACCGGCCACGGGCTATGGATTTCTGGGAAGGAGCCAGGGCACAAACAGCGTCTTCCCACCTTGTACAGCTGCGCATCATAGGCCTTCAGGAGCTGGCACACATCAGGAAGAGCCATGAACATCACTACGTCTCGCGGCAAAGACTTCCAGAAAGAGACAAGCAAGCCCTGAACCTAGTGGAAGGAACAGGACAGACCCTCATGAACTCATCTGCGTGTTGGGGGAAAAGTCCCCTGTGTAGACTTCATTAGCCCCGAGGGCAATAGGCTGAATTCATCCTGATGAATAAAAGCTTTGCCCTCTTGCTTTCCAGACTGTATTTTGAGAAGTTTGTGTCCATCCATCACCCGGCTGTTGGGGGGGCCTGGATGAGGCTATGCTTGAGTTGGCAAGCGACTGCTCACCACCAGGGGGCTCCAGCTGATTAGCACAGCATGAGGACTGGGCCACAGGAGCAAGGCCAAGCGTGGGGGATGAACATTCGTTGCCTGACTGAGTGTCCACCTTGACGTCTTTCGACATGGAATTGGAACTCTCCCAGGGATTGTGCAGCGGGGGGGGGGGGGGTGATGTAATGCTACGTGGAGGCCATCATCTCTAAATTCCTGTGGAGGCACAAAATGGCAGCTTCCTTCCTTTTCTGCTTCCTCTACGTTGCCTTTCCAGAATCTTGTCTTGAGCCAGATGGCCGATGGGGGTTCCCTGCTAATAAAGACTCCTGACTGGGGGGATTTCCAGCTATTCTGAGCCACTGCAAGGTCCCACAGCGATGCCAGGTGGGTGCCATTCCCATGTGCAGGCCATCAAGGAAGTGAGGGTTGGCCCTTGGGTTCACGGTGCCAGGCCTCTGACTGGGACCGTGTGGTCAAGGTTATCCATTCTAAAGAAGATTCTCCAGAGGCTTAGAAAGAAATGAAGCACAGGGTGTAGTAGCCTGTTCCTTGCAGGCTGGTAACTTTGAAGCCTGGCACGGTAGGGTCAGCAGGCCTGAGCAGGGGCAGCAACCACCACCCACGCCCAGTGTCAGTACGTCCTGCAGGCTCCCCTAGGCATGGCTCTCTAATCTGCTCCTTCTCCTCTCTGTCAGTGCCTCGGACTGACTCTCATCCTTCTCACCTGGACTGGAGCAAATCCCCTGACATGCTGAGACCCATGTCACCACTCCTACTGTCTGAATAAATCAGAAGTCTTGGTGGGGTTTATGGAGTCTTTGCTAGCAGTTGTTTACCTGCCCTTGACCTCTCTGACTTTTTTTCCTTAGAGATAAGTTGAGGCACATTCTGTCACATCATGCCTGAGAACATCCTGTTGTCTTTGTCCACATCACAGATTCTACATGGAAGCCCTCTCCTACCCCACTTCCTGCCCATTGAACCTCTACTTTTCCTGCTGAGCCTGCTCCAGGGAACTCTCTAGCCTGCTCTGGTCCTTCCGAGCCCCCCAAGGTGTCCTAACCTACAGCTTGCTGCGGTTTGAATACAGTGTGGCTCCACTGAGCTCATACAGAAGCATAATCCCCATTGTGGAGCATGAGAGGCGGGAGATGCAATCTGTCTGTGACATTCAGCAGTGGCCTTGGGAAGCACATGGTCACGTCCTGAACGTGCCTGCAAAGCCATGCTTAGCTCACAGGTGCTGGATTCATTGCTGATTCATGCATTAATGAGCTCCCTGCTGCTGACTGTGCTGTTCGGGGGTGGGGCCTGGGCAGAGGGGCTCACGGGCCAAGACCTGGGAAGGTGCGTTCTTGTCCTGGGCTCTTCTCCTCTGTTTCCTGACTGCCATGCACACCCTTCCACCACGATGTTCTGCCTTTGAGCTGGCAGAGCAGACTGGAACCTTGGAAACTGAGCTGACTGAGCTCTTTCTTTAAGTTACAGGTGTTGGGTAGTTTGTCCCAGTGATGGGCAAGCGACTGAGCCAGGAAGGGTTTAGGATTGGATAAGGTCACCAGGGTGATTGAGTGCTGGTGGATGTATTAGAAACACACACACACACACACACACACACACACACACGTGCCAGCATGCACACATATTGTCTCTCCCTCACTGTGTGAAGCTCTGTGCCACCTTATGTTGCCAGCAAGAAGGTCCTCACCAGTGAGGTCCCTAGACCTTGCATCTTCAGAACTATAGCCCAAATGAACCTCTTTTCTTTATAAAGCGTCCTGCCTCTGGTACTTTGTTATTGTAAGTGATATAGTTTGGATTTGGACTGCCCTAAAGGCTCATATGTTTGCAAGCATGTCTGCTTCCTTCCTTGCTTGCTTCCTTCCTTCCTTTCTTCCTTCTTTCCTTCTCATTTAAAATGTTCTAATAAAGGGCCAGAGATATAGGTCAGTGACATAAATGCCTGCCTGGCAAGTGCAAGGACCCAAGCTCAATGCCCAGTACCAAACAAAACAAAAAGTTCAAATAAAAATATTTTCAAATGAAGTTTTATTATTTATCTACTCACTTTAGCTGTATTATATACTTCATGTGTGTCCCAAGACAATTCCTTGAGGGAAAAGGGTGGGCTGTGGATTGGACACAGCTGACGGCTTTGTCCCAGGCCTGCGGCGTGGCCCAGTGGCGGGCCTTCCTATCAGTGGAGTTGTGCCCTCAGAGGTCTCGCTTCCTTTCTCTTAGCTTCCTGGCCACCAGGAATGGCCCACCCCCATGCTTCCTGCTGTGGTGTGCAGTCTCCACTCAAGTGACAGGTCCCCCTGGCCAGGGCCTGCAACCTCCATGACCAGGAGGAGAAACAACCCTCCCTCATAGCAAGCTGGCTGTCTCGGGTATTTTGCTGTCAAAATAGAGGTGGGCGATAAGCAGCTGTTCCCACCATGCCTCATTCACTGGCTGGTCCTGCTCCGCGTGTGACCGGAGCGCCCATGTCTCAGCTCCTGTGGAGAATCCGTCCCTAGAGCCGGACATCGCGCTGGTCGCCAAGTGTGCACTCAGTAAGCATTTGATGGGGAGAGTGGAGGAGTTGCCTAGGAAAGTAAAGCGCTGGGGAAATTGGCGTTTGACTGTGCATTTGTTTCCCGGGACTTTCATCTAACAGCCAGAGGGCTGATTTGTGCTGCCTACAGCCAATTCTACCCTTTCATTTGTTTGTGCTGGTGCTGCGGGATGAACCCACGGCCTTGCACACGTGAAGCACGTACTAAGTGTATTCCCAGCACACGCCCTCTCTCGGATCCCCACGCTAATGTTCCACAGTCAGTTCTGAAATAAAATCTATAATTCCCGCTTCAGATCACCGGCTTCAAGGTCCTGCTTGCTCTTCCATTCGTGCGTATCACTTCTTCGGTGTTACTGAAACTTCCCGGGTGACTGTTGCTACCAGCCTTTTATTCGCACTCAGCAGGAATTGGGATCTCAAAGTAACAAGACGTTGAATTTGTACTTAAAGCACAAAGCTACCAGCTATTTGCACCCTGGAGAATCTCCTGAGGCCTGAACCCCATGTCAGCACCGCCTTCCAGAACTCCCTGGCTGCCTTCTAAGCTCTCCTGCAGTGTGCTGCCCCCGCTCCCCAGCTATCCCAGAGGGGACCTGCGGAGCGCAATGGCTCACAGGCAGGCACAGATAAGAACCCACCTTCTTTTGGAGGTTTATGCTTTGGTTTTGGTGCCAAGGACCAAACCCAGGGCTTCCAGCTTGCTAGGCAAGTGTTCTACCACTGAGCCAAAGCCCCAGCCACCCCCGGCCACCTTCCTTTAGAGATAAGAACCTACCCTCTCCAGCTCTTGGTTCCTCACATTTTGCAGAATGTCCTGGCAGTGGCTGCAGTATTCCTCAACGAGGAAGGCCATCTGGAAAGGAGACACAAAGTGACAGCTGCTTGCAGGCCACTTCAGAAAGAGGCTGGTGCTGGGAGGCCCGGCTGGGGCTGCTGGGGCTGCTCCCACCATGGGGCTGTGGCTATTTCTTTTCACCGAGTGATGGGGACCTTGCCCACTTGGAGGCCGGCCATTTGCGTTTTGATGTTGCAACTCGCATATCCAAGCTGGCTTCCCCTTACAAAGGCCATGGACTTGCTCCCAGCACCCCCCAGCCCCACATTTACCAACTCCCACCTCTAGAAATCTGTGCCTTTGTCCCCTGCCTTGTCATGGGAAGGCTCTCCCTATAGAAAGTGACACTGTGGCCCTGAAGGGGCCTTTATGCAGGGGGTGGGGGCAGGCTCAAGTGCTGCCACCACCAAGCCCCAGAGCAGGGCTCCTCAGTCCTCAGGCGTCTGAGAGGAGGTAACGTCACCCCAGGGGCACAACCATGACCTCAGGCAAAATGAGCCCTGCCCTGCCCTAAATATCACTTAGCTTGCCCTGTGTGACACAAACCTGCCTGGGTGGTGTGCGAGGTCCTGAGGACCGAACCCAGGGCTTGCTGCACACCACGCGGGCTCTCTACACCGAGCAGTACCTCAGCCCTTTTGGTTTTATTTTGAGGTAAACTCCTGCAAAGGAGCTCTGACTGGCCTCAAACTTGTGAACCTTCTGCCTCAGCCTCCAGGGTAGCTGAGACTGCAGGGATGGACCACTGTGCCTGGCCCAACCTACCATTATTAAAATACATATATTTATTATAGGGTCTCACTACACAGTTCACACTCCTAGTGATCCTCCTGTCTCAGCTTCCCCAGTGCTGGGATTGCAGGTGTGCTTCACCATGCCCAGTTTTGGTGGCTGGCCCAGTTCTGGGTTTGGCACAGCATATGGTACCAGGAATCAAACTCGGGTCCTTGCACTTGCCAGGCAGGGGCTTAGACCACCAAGCTATCTTCCCAGCCCCCAACCTACCATTGTACATGAGTATTTCTTTGCCAGTTCTTGCTCCCAGAGCAGACATCTTCTGATTTCATATAAAGGAAGGCCAATCGGACCTGTCTTTAGTGGTGAATTATTTTCACACTAGAAGAAATGTATACAGTGGATTATTTCTTTAACATAAAATGCATTTTCTGGCATATAAACCATGTCACAATCACACTGTTGTTCCAAGTGAGTGCTCTCTTAGGCGCACTCCTAGATAAATTATTGATTCCAGCAACTGTCCCTTGTATTTCATTCTCAACCTCTTTCTATGTCATTCTGTAAACTCTGCCCCCCCAGGTAGGGGCCAGGAGCTAAGGTAGGATCCAAAAGGGTTTCTCTTAGGGTCCTGTCCTGGGGTCATTATGAATAGCCATGTCCAATACAAGTACAATCTATGAATAATTGAACGTCCTCAACACATTCCAACCGCCTTTGTGCATACAGCCATTGCTTCTAGAAGTAAAACCGCATCCTATCTGGACCATCGGGCCTGGTTCATAAATGTGATCCCTTGTATCAAAAATCTCATGGGCACAGCCAGCAAGAGAAAAGAGAAGCACAGACTGCTGCAAAGTGACACGCTACAGACTGTCATGGAAGAGGCAAGGTGACAGGGCAAGGGGGACACTCCCTATTCCTCCTGGTGCCTTGCACACCGCTGGCCCCTCTGAGCAAGGACACTTGGACTGCTGCCGTCTGAGGATTTCAATTTTATTTGAAATGATTTCTTCAGGATGCTCCTGGCTTTCTTTTTCTGTCTGTTTTTGAGACAGGCTTTAGCTATATAGTCTAGGTTAGGCTTGACCGCACTATCTCGTCCAGGCTGGACTGGAACTCGCAGTGATCCTGAGGATAAAATAGGATGAAACACTTCCTACAAATTGGACTTTGAGCTGCACTTCCTGCCATGGAAACCAGGACTATCGTTCTCTTTCCAACACCAAGGTCCCTGTGGCTCCACAGGGCTCAGGCTTGAGTGTTACTCCGCCTGTCATCAGCGTCAGCTCTCGGGCCCGCAGCTGAGGGGTTCCTGTCCATCAGACGCCCTCAGGGACGAGAGTCTCTCAGCCACTGCCCACAGCTGCCACACACCTCTGAGGAACAGGCCCCGGTGGGCTCCTCATCCTCCGTGGCCCCTTGTTACGATCAGCATCACATGAGGATGGGCGGGGCCTAGGGCTTGCGCTCCACAATCTCTGCCTCTGGACTTTATCGTGGTCCTGGCCCCCGTGAGAATCTGGGCCTGCAGCTAACCCTCTTCCTGGAGAAATGTGCATGGAAGGCTCTGGAGACGCAGGCGGAAACCTTCTGTAGCAAGGCCAGGATGTCAATGTCTACAGACACAGGTCAAGCAGGAGGGCAGAGAGGTGACGGCTCCAGGGTCCTTTCTGCGGGTGCCACCTTGGCTGCACTCCCAGCACTTTTGAAAGACTGGCTCTACTCCATGCCTCTGACGGTGGGCACTTCTCAGGAGTCAGATAGGGCTTCTAGGGTTGATGGCCAGTAAGGGTGGCTTATGCCTGGAGTTCGCCAGCCTGGCAGTGTCATTTCTGATAAAGCCCCAAGGAGCCCTTGATTCCAACTCGAGGTGACTTTTCATGCTGCAAACCCCACTGCACCCCAAGTGCGTAACCCACGCCAGAGAAGGCCGGGCCTCCAGACCTCACCAGCTTTGCAAATGCGCCTGCTCAAGCAGGGAGCTGCAGCCCTGGGCAGACTGTTTCGTCCTGGTTTATGAAGGTCCCTCCCCTGCAACGTGACAAGCACATCTGCGTTTCCCTCTCAGATGCCATCTGGCAGGGTAGGACAGGGACGTTCAAGAAAGGAGCACACAGAGCATGTAAAAGCACACTGCACAAAACATCTTTTT